CAAAAAAGCATTCAAGAGGTTCAGTTTGGATCAGTACTATTAAATATAATGTTCTTTGATACAATGAAGCGATTCAGTATGTTATATCATTGGCATAGGGTTGTAAAATCGATTAATCGCATCCAAAATAAACCTTCGTGTTTACATAATATATGTGTGTGTGTGTGTACTGTATTTATATGTATAAATGCACACACATGCATGCATATATTTAAGAAACATATGTAATAATAATAGTAAGAATAATAAACAAACTTTTATTTTGGATGCAATTAATCGCGATTAATCAGCCCTACATTGACATAAAACCTGCAGTGATGCATCTTAATGTGGCAGGTTTTTTTTAAAATACATATTTTTTTATTTTAAAAACTACATGTTAAAGTGTTGATGTGTCGCTGTGGATATAATACTTATGCTGCATTATGGAGTATGTTTTGACACACTTCAGTACTCACATACAGGCCTAAGGTTATTTCAGCTGTAAGATTCTGCTAATATTTGAGGAAATGAATAAGTTACGTCACTCAGTTAGGCTAAATCTCTTCTCAGATGGGTTGTTTTGATTTGTGTGCCTCTGTGCAGTTTTGCTTTAGTTGTATTGCTTTTGTTTTCTTGTTAATTTTGCTTATCCAGAGTCCATGCCTTAGTAGAAGAACCACGCCTTTTGTCCCTAGGGTCCAGGTAACATCGTCAGACTTCTCTCTCTTCCTCTGCTCAGTCTCTTTTTAATCTTTTCTTTCATTTCTGGCAGTCTTTCTCAATCCTTCATTACTCTCGCTCTCTCTCTGTGTGCTCAGTTAGGCTAAATCTCTTCTCAGATGGGTTGTTTTGATTTGTGTGCCTCTGTGCAGTTTTGCTTTAGTTGTATTGCTTTTGTTTTCTTTGTTAATTTTGCTTATCCAGAGTCCATGCCTTAGTAGAAGAACCACGCCTTTTGTCCCTAGGGTCCAGGTAACATCGTCAGACTTCTCTCTCTTCCTCTGCTCAGTCTCTTTTTAATCTTTTCTTTCATTTCTGGCAGTCTTTCTCAATCCTTCATTACTCTCTCTCTCTCTCTCTCTCTCTCTCTCTGTGCGTTATTTGGAAAATGCACTGCAGGAAAACGGAAGCATTCCAAGTTTCTCCCCCTTTGCTCTTTTGTTCAGATTTAATTTTTTCCCCTAAAGTTATACGTCATCGCCCTTGCGATTTATAACCACAATTCATAAGAGCTGTTTCATTATTACAGTATGAATTTGGCTTAATTAATTGAACGGCCATCTTGCTGAGGCTGAAATATTCTGAATGAATTATATACCATTTATTTTATTCTCTTTTTAAATGTGGCATGATTTTAGCATCGTTTATTAAATTAAGTCTCTTTAAATTTTAAACATTTTTTTTTTTAGAGAGACATTTTTTTCATCTTTGTCATGTAACATGGAACGTTATATTTGTATTATGTTGTATAGGCAATAGTTTGTATGAAATGCATATGTTTTCCTAGTTTAAATTTAGTATGAGAAATTCATGGTTTTATAAGTGTTAATACAAATGAAGCCCGGTTTGGATCAGTGCTATCAAATATTATGTTCTGTGTTACAATGAAGAGATACAGTTTGTTATTTACCACACTTTTGAGATAATATTGCATTTTCCAATGTAGAGAATTTCTCTAAACCTCATAGATAATAAGCAAATTGTACCAAAGACTATTTAGGCAAACCTGTATGGCCTTTTTTCTTATGTGGAATGCAAAAGATTAAAATTGGCAAGATATCATTGACATAAAACCTGCAGTGATTAAAAAAAAATAATTATATATATATATATATATATAGTTTTATATATATAT